GGGGTCCTCCATAATTTTTAAAAGTGGGAAGGGGTCCTGAGAGAAAAAAGTTTAAGAAACTTAGATGAATCTCTCTCAACTTTGGCACCTCTAGATCTGTGGATTTCAAGCTCCAGAATTCCCAGCAATGGCCACTGGGACATTCTGAAAGTTGAAATCCACATATTTGGGGGACACCAGGTTGAAGCAGGCTGGCTTATATCATTGTATCTGTTGGGAAGAGATGTAAGAATAGTGCTGTGATAACCAGTATATGATAACTTGAATTAATTGAGTTAGTTGATATAAACAAAATTTTATTTGTATCTTCTGATTTACTCTAACTGAGTAATTTAACAAGTTTAACTAAAGTTATGTGATGTGAACAAAACCAGGTTATTGTATTGCTGTTGCTCCACAGCAACAGCAGAAAATGATCCTAGCTCAAGAACTTGCACTGGCCAGGAAGCCTTAGCCACATTTACCAGATATGCCTCATTCTTTTTCTCTGATTCTGAGCACATGCAAGAATTTTCAGAGACATCTATATATTGCCTCAAAAAAGGGCATTGTAGTTCTGCCAATGATAGTTTAACAGAACTATCAAAAGACATTAATTCAGATAACTGGCACTTTAACTATCTTTCTGTTCCATTAAGGCAACATGGAAGGTAAAGAAAATGCCCCTTCGATGATCTTAGAAGATAGGAAGCATCTCAAGTAGCCTCCTGGGTAGAGATGAATTGTTATAGGCTTTAGTAATTAATAATTATTGAAATAGAAACAAAATGGGGTATATATAACTGCCTTTTCAATTATAATGCCAAGAAAAAGAATCATAAGCATTAGAAATATTTATTTGAAAAAGAGGAAGCATATTTTAAGATTTTACTTCATGACCATAACTTTTTTTTTCTTTTCCTGTTCCTATCTTTTTGTCTTGTGGTTCACTGTTGGAGATAAATTTTCATTGTGCTTGTTTTAGTAAAAATGGTATTGCATAACAATATTGCTGAGTCTGTATAAACTTGCCATTAATGTAATTATATTTTAAGTTAATTTTTGTTTTAGCCACAAACAGTATTCTTCTATTTTTGCTTAAATTAATTGGCACAAAATATTATATTCTGCTGCTCACTTCAGCAGTTCTGTTCTAAGCAAGGCACATCTGTCACTTCTGTAGTCATTTGCCTTGATCCAGGAATCTGTCTATCCACAGAAAGTGTGCAGGCATTTCAGGGAATATAGGAACTCTAGCTATGAGACTACAGGCAGTTTGTGAATTCCCTATGCTGGAACTGTGGATTTAGATCTCAGAACCAATCTTTTCCTATAACCATGCTTTTCACTTTGTAAAAATGCCTGCATAAAGGATTTGTGGTCTGATACTACAGTGCAGTCACAACATCCTGAGCTGAATTAAGAGCCTTTGTGGTGCAAAGGAAGGCATCAAATACAATGGATAACCTTGAGTACTATGTTGGGAGTATTGATGCTAGGAGTACCATTAGACTAGGCTCCTGCTCCTTCAGAGGGAGTGCAACTCTATCCAGAATAGCCAATTTCCCCATTTTCAAGATCAAGAAAGGATGAGCTGCAAGGTCACATACAATATGACATCACAATATCTCCTGCTGCTTATCACAGTCTGGATTATGTCTTCCTCCTTTTCCTCCGCTATCACACATTACTATAGCAATTTGCAAATATCTTATAAATAAGAAGAATCAACACAAATAAATGAACAGTTGAAAACAGTGTATGCAGAGGCACATAACAAATATGTGTGTGTTTATTCTTGATTTGTTCTGCACTCTATTTTACACCACCAGTGTGCAGCCTTTTTTTCACATGCTGTATGTGTTTATACAGTATACCCAAGAAAATTGACATATACCCTTTCCCAGTTCCAAGGGTGAAAACAGGAATGGGAAGACTATCTCCTCTTTTCCCTCCAAAGTTTAATGCAACAAAAAGGCAGATACTCTTGGAATCCATCATTTTTTTTTAAATGGATAAGGAATATATTTTCAGATTAATTTCAGAGCTAAAACATAGAACATAAGATGCAACCCTTGTTGTGAGAACTACCAGTTTTGTAAGAATTCTCAGGATTTGTCCCTAGCATCTTCAGTTGACAGGTTTTCAAATAGTAAAGCTATATTTAAATGCAGCCATATGGGTAGGTAACACATGCAGACATTTTTGTTAGGTTTAATCCCAAACAATAGGGATTAATAGGCTCTTTATACGCTGGGCTGGAGAAAGAGGTGCTTCCTCAGTCTCAGCAGTCAGTATGGGCTAGATGTACTTGTGGCCTGAGTAGAGTGTAAGATAGTTACATATGGAGAAAGAAGGATATATAAGTATGGCATAATAGTTAAAGTGTTATTCTTTAACCAGGTGAACTCAAGTTCAAGTCCATCTTTAGCCATGAAAGCTCAGTGGTAATTATGAGTCCTTCTCTCTCAGCCCAACCCATATTACAAAGTTGTAGTTGGGACAAAATGAAGGGAAGTGCCCATGTAAGCCACCATAAATTCCAGAAGGAAAAGTGGGATATAAATCTAATGCACACAATTCAATTTTTTATGAATTAGGATTTGTATTGCTTCTAGCAAAGTTGTTTGAGTTGCCACTAACATTGAGAACATTTTCTTATACTAACAGTTATATCTTTATCAGAGGGTAAGGAAGAAACACAGACAGCTTGACTGCAGCGTAAATTACGTTGTTTTTTCCTTTAAGTGTGATGTGATGTAGGTCATTCAGGACCTTGACCCATTTTTTCTTTTCTAAACTATCCCAACTTTCAACTTAGAATAAAGCCCAAGGCTATTTCTTGGAGCCTATTGACTTTCTACAGCAATACTTTTTCAGTAATAGATGTCACGGTTATCTTCAGTTTTTGTTTTACATCTTTTGGCACTTTGTGAGCTGGATTGTTAATGTGTATGCACTGGAGTTTGCCAGAACGGTGACAATTGCATTCTTTCACTGCTTGAAACAGGGTCAAAATTATGCCCTCAGTTTGTCATTGGACTAGAAAGCAAAGAGACTCAGGAGACCTTACAAAGAACACTTCAGCAAAAGATGGGGAAAGGCTCATGGATGCCACAAGAAAGTTAGAATTTATTATCCATTTAGAAACCACACTAGTTGTTCTTTCTCAAGATGACAGTAATTTTGCTCTAGTTGTAGCTGTGGACAATGGATCACAGTACAGATGGCAATTTTCATGTATCCAGATGTGCATCATAATTCACAGTGGCAACACATGTGACAGATGTCTTATAAGTCCTCTTGCTGATTGAGGCAAGAAGTAAACCTGTTTCAGAGGATATAGATTGCTCATGATTCTTCTTCCATAACCTATCATCCAAGATTTAGATTACACTTTTCCATCCAAATTGGCCACCTGAATAATTTAGAAGTAGCAGAAATTATCACTCTTGTATACTTCACCATTCAAGACTCTTTTGGAAGGCTTGAGGCAGCTTTATGCACACCTAGTGAATTGACAAACTACTCAGACTGCCAGTGCAGTCTGGTTTTTTGGGGGGGAGGGGGGGCAAGGGATGCCCGCTATACTCAGGATGGTCTTCTGATCTGGAATCAGCACATTCAATTCTGGGAGAGCATTTTGCACTTCTCACCCATTTCATTCAAAAAATGCACTGGAATGTCTACCTGATCCCTAAGGTCTTTTTTTCTCTGCTATTCTATTATTTGGGAAGAACAGTTCTATTTGTAAAGCTGTAGGAAAGCTGCATTATAATTTCTGAATTTTGCTCCCTTTTAGTTTGCTCTTATTTGGCCCACTGGTGCTGGCAGTTCAGAGATCCATATTCAATATACTGTTAGCTGTGTACTCCTGTGGCACATGCTGGATAGGTTTTTTGGCAGAGCCATTCTCCCAACCTGCAGTGAAGTGATGCTAAAAATATTAGCAAATTAGCACCATGAAGCTTGCCAGCTTATCCGCCAGAGTCTTGCTCCTTCTCTCACTGCTGTAATTAAAACTAATTATTTTCTAAAACATAGTAATACATGAATATGTGCAATAATCATTTTGTAGTGGGCAATCTGCAAAGTGTTTTTAAAGCTCCCCCTTCCCCTTTGGCTTGTTCTCCCACATGTTGGCTGCTGCTTTGAACGCTGCATTACGCTGTTGCAGAAAGCAAAGCGGCCCAGCAACCATAGGCTGGAGCTTATGAGTCTGTAATCATCGTCATATTTCACTAGCTTTTCCTTCTCTTGCCACTCAGGATTTTTATATAAATTTTAAATAGTTACCAGAATGACCTATTTGAGACTGTTTCTACTGTATGTCCAAGAATGAATGAAAAAAATTAAATGCCAATAGCATTTGCTGTGAGACTTTGATATTATAGGAAACACTAAATAAAGTACACGTATACACTATGGTTTTGCCACAGTTATTTCTAGAAAATGTTTGTAAATACAAGAGGAACTGCTATTTCATATTTGTCCTTTGGGGTTATGCATATATAGTCACAACTGTGCATCTTGTATTTTACAGAGTTGTGTGTCTGTGGGTGTGTGTCAGTCAGTCAGCCAGCCATACTGGTCCCTGTCCCTAATCCAAAATAGAATGTGGGAAAATCACGGGAGAAAGAGGCAAAGATGGAAGAACCGGGAACAGAGAATGGAAATGGAATTATAAGATTGATTCAGGAATGCAGTTTTAGGCTAGGGAATATTCAACAATAAAGTAATTTAAGAACACTTCTGCTGTTTAAATATATGAATATGCTATCGGAGGAAACAAAAGATATAATTTTGACCCAACTATTTCTTTTCCTTTTGAAGTTGAAACAGGAAATTTAGGAGATGAGCAGTGATGACCTTATAACTTACTTCTCACATCCTTCCAACACTAGGAAGAAAATGAACATTTCTGTGGCGCACTTCTGTGATGTGGCTGCATAGGTGTTACTTGAACAAGAATTATCAATATTACACTATATGCCCAACTGGCATGCTTACAGCTGAATGCTCATGTCAGCCACAGAGAGATCTACAAAATAATTTACCTGCTAAAGAGGGTAGCACAGTTAAGTGTGTTGCAGGCCAGGCATTTGTTTGGAAGGTTGGTAGAATATTACAAAATGCTTACTAATGTAATTGTAGGGCTTTCATTGTACTTCCAGTACTGTAATGCATTGCAAATTCCAATTCAGTGCCTTAATATATTAATTGTAATAGCTGATGTGACAGTGATTTGTATCTGTGTCTCCTAGTAAAGTCCTATCTGAAATGTCTGATCTGTAAAGAGATCCACGGATGCAGGAGTTTGATACAGATACCCAGTTTTCCTGCAAGAAAGGTCTTAAGGTTAGGAACAAGAATAAAGGGAGGAGTAAGTCTTTGGATTATCAGAATCACTTAAATCCTCAAACAAATCACCCATTTCTCCTTTATTATGGTCCCAGCTTTCTTAGTCTCCGATGCTTTAGTATGCTGCTCTGTTCTAAGAATACCCACTATTGTGACATTTACTGTACATGCATCTAATCATAGTAGCTTTTCAAGAGTACTGAAGTTCCATAATGTGTGACTGAATTCTGTATGTGAAAGTAGCATGACTGATAAAAACTCTCATAATGTTGAATATGCTTATATTTGAGATAATTCATCTAAAGCTTCAACAGTGTTTGCCAGCTCACAAATCAAAGATGGGCCTAATAAAGTTGGATGACCAGATTTTTCAGAATGAATATGGCATATGTTGCTGTAAAGAATTGTGTGATAGCTTCCCCACAAAATCTGATCTTAAAAATGTGTTTAACGCATTTTCAAAATCTAGTTGCTGAGATACAAAACTCTTCTGAGCTTCCATAAAAGAAAGAACATCCTGTTCTTCTGCTTGTCTTGTGCCACCAGTTGGGGACAGAAGGAAGTTACCTTTAATCATGTCTCCTGTTTTCAATTAGCACCTATGGGTCTTGCAGATTTGATGACTCAAGGCGAGTCCAAATTGCCCGTTCCTCTCAAACCGGATGGAAAAGAAGAAGGACCTCCCCAGCCTGAGAGCAAAAAGGTACTTCCTTCCCTTGCATGTGTTCTTGGTTTGGCACAGCAGAACTCTGTTACATTGTCCTTCATTCTCTGATTTGAGCTTGCCCCTTTCAGTTCTTTCCTGCATGCTTTTTTCCCATTCACGTGCAATCTATTATGTTAGTTTTATTCTTTTCCTTTCCTTATCTGGATCTGAAAGTTACTAGTTCTTATGGCATTACCTCGGGGAGGTGGGGGGGAGATAAAGCTCAGTAAAATCTTATATGGGGATTCAGTTAATCCACTGAGTGGGAAAAAGTGGATCGTACCTTAGCTTTGGTACTTGGCAGCCATATTTCCTCTGTCTTCAGTTATAGCTTCCTGTTTTGGCCGTTTCAATAGCCGCAGCATACTTTAATCCTTTGCTTTCTTTCCTTATTTGATAAAAATAAGGTGACCAGCTTTCTTTCTTTTCTTTTTTTTTTCCTCCCCCTTTCTTTCTCTTTCTCTCTCTTTATCTCATGAGGGGAAACCCCTGCTTGATGCTCCATTTAGCTTGAAGAAAGCATGGTGGCATAGCAGCTTCAGCTAAGCATCCAGCAAAATTGCGAGATTATATGATGAATGTTGTTTTAAGGCATATGTATATTATATGTGTATGTTTTTCTCTGTGTGTCTCTGTTTATATTTTATATAGTTTAAAAAATGGTCAGTCTGTTAAATTGGATGTATTTTTTTCATTTTTAATAAAGTTTGCCCTGCCTTTGTCCTTTTTTTTATTCCTCTACCACAGGATAGCTACAGCTCTCAGGGTATTTCTCAGCCCCCAACCCCAGGCAACCTGCCAGTCCCTTCCCCAATGTCCCCAAGTTCTGCTAGCATCTCCTCATTTCATGGAGATGAAAGTGATAGCATTGGCAGCCCAGGCTGGCCAAAGACTCCATCAAGCCCTGTAAGTGGCTCTGGCTTTTGTTTTTTGGGTTTTTTGGTATTTATTATATTTTAATGCTTGCTTGTTTGTTTTATAGATTCTTTTGTTCATTATTTATCCGCTAAAGGATTTGTTTAATGTAAGCAGAGGCTAAATTCTGCTCTCAGTTCTCTACACGCAGCTCATCTTCCTTTCGCTCAGATTTAGCTCGGAGTTGAGCTTGCTTGACTGAGGGCAAAATTTGGCCCAGCCCAATTAAAAAGAGCAACAACAAGAAGAAAAAAGATGACATTTGTATGTATTACAGAAGTTTGCCTTACTTTGTAATATAGCCAATGTTGTGAAGAAAATCTTTCTCTCATAATGCATCAGCTTACAAAGCATGCTCTGTGTTGATCAGGACATTCTGTCTCAATTACTGGGTCCAAACTCTTTGCAAACTAAAGGGGCTTTCACTTGGGTGTTAATTAGCATAGCAGTCTAAAAAACCATTTCTTCTGGCTTAAAAAAATTGCTGCACTTACTGCATACATTACAGATCAATGCAAATAGTCATTTCTGAGCAGCGAAATGTACTTGCCACACTGGGCAGGAGATCTATATAGAAAGTTATTTTTTTTGGAATGGGCAAAGTCTTGAAAAATGTAAATATAGTCTTTAGAGAGCATTTTAACAAGAACATTATTTGTTACAAAGATTTCAGATACCAAAGCTGAACTAATTTTCCTCAACTACTTCAGTTTATGTTGTTATATTAAGAAAAATAGTTCTGCTTTTAAGAAATTTTTGCTGTGTGATAACATGAATACTGAAAGGTGTCACTAATTTGTTACAAAGTTCAGTAGAGTCCTTCAAAGATGTCTTGATTTTTATATGACATTTAATGGAAATAATGTGTGAAAAGACAAGAATGAAAGCCAAAGTATACAAGAAAAAATTACTTCTCTGCAGGATTTTCTTTTTTAAAAAGTACATGCTTTCACCTCATAGGTGTGTGTGTTAAGAAATATTTGGAGGCCTCCAAAATCAGCATTCCATATCTAGCTCATACCTCATTGCCATCTTTAAAAGCTGATTTACCTATATCCTAAAAAAATTACTTACTCATATGCTGTGACCTACTTCATATCATTGGTCACTATTGGCAGAAAATTGTGGAATATTCTGACATGAGGACTTGTATACTAGATCAGCCTTCCCACCTTAATGTTCTCAGATGTGTTGAGGAGTTCTCCACCAGTACATTTCTCACTGGGAATTCTGGCAATTGCAGTCTCAGTGTACTAGTTTATGGAAAGGCTCCTTAAACTTTATGGAGGCAAAGAGAGCTACCCTCTCTTCCAGACCTGTTTCCTTGACAGTCCTAGGTTTATTGTAATTTCTCGTTTTTCAGATGAAGCTTAGGGGAACTTGGTGACTTGGAAACAGTACTTCCAGCCGCCTCCTCCTCCTCCTCCTCCTCCTCCTTCTCCTTCTTCCCCCTTTCCTCCTCCTCCTCTTCCTCTTCCTCATTCTCTCCCTCTCTCTCTCTCTCTCTTGCTGAGCTCTTTCCAAAGGATAATATAAATACCATAAAAAAGGCCAGTGCAAAAGACCATCAGATTATTTTTACATCTATGCTCAGAATCCTTTATATCTAGTGAGAAAACATCAGCAATAATAGAAAGGAACTGAGGAAAGACAAAAGAGTAGAAATCACTTAGCAACTTTTGAATCCCTCAGAACAATAGCTTTGAGTCTCAGAAGGCATCTGCTGGTATTATGTTCCCTCTATGCTCAAAAGTAGCTATTCCTGACTACAAGTCTAAATACAAGCTCTACAAACTATGAGTTGTTATATTAGATGGGGATACATTAAGTGCATAGAATGTCAATCATTTAAAACATTTCTGGAAATGTAAAAGATCTTTAGGAAGAAAATATATATCCATGAGCTTTTTTAGCTATTATATATCCCCAGGGAAAGTATTAGAAATGCATATTCTGTTTCTACAATAATTAAGGAGAACCACTTCAGATTTTTTGAAAGAGGAAATGGAAGAAATTACCTTTCTATTTCCAATTGGAGTAAACACTGTTATATTCAGATAGAGTTTTTAGAAATTAATGCAAAACTTTAACAGAAGACAACATTGTGAAAGGACTTAGGAAAGTAGAAAACAAATAACTTGGGTCTCCATCTTTTACAATTGTCCTTTGATTTCAGTGGAAATTATTTGAAAGTTTCAGGCCAAAGTGCTCTTGTGAACATAACTGGATATATTTTTATTACTAAATAAACTAATTGCCAACTTCTACTGATTTCATCTATGAGTAGCAGCCTAATACCTTTTCTACCAAGTTGCTGAAAACAGATGCCAAAAATCATATTTACTATCTGATTTAATTACAAAAGGAAATCCTGCCCAGGGATAAGGGTGCAGGTAGAGGTACAAAATGTAAATAATTTGAGAGTTCTCAAAGTCTTGAGGATACTTTCTGTCTCTCTGAACTCTTTAAAACCTTTTCTCCATTGGTAACTGTAAAAAGTCATTAATAGTTTCAGGTTAGCCTGAAGGGGCTAGTTTGGGTATAGCTATATACACATAGAGCTTATGAGACACTAGTGGCACCTCTAGGTAAATTTCCCATAAAATGCTGGCAGGGAATTACCTCCATTCCATCTTCACGTGCACACACTCTACCACTACCAATCGGTTATGGGGTTAGGGTAGCAATCATAGATAGTAAAGTACATAATCCTTTCTTCAGAGAGGTTCCAACCAGGTATAGTCTTGCCATTACTTATATTTAGTCTGGATCTACAGGAATAGGTTAATAATAAATTGTACCTTTGATAGAAGACATACAACAATGCATATATAATTAAAGTGTCCGAACACCCTACTTTACTATCATGCCAAGAGACATTCTGTTTCCTCTTGGGGCAATTACCACATACAATTTTTTTCACAATATGCAATCTGTTGGTCACAATGAGGACCCATTATCAATACAAAAATTAGAGTAAATACATTAAATCCTAAAGAGATTAATAATTACAATTACCAATGAATGTTTATAGTCACGCAGCTATCTGATGAACACCTAAAATATATAAAGAGTAATAAATGTCTGCAGTTATGTAATAGTAATTATAAATACTCATTAGGGTAATACGCAGAATAATCAGCAGCTGGGTTTGGCATTTAGTCAGTTTTGCACTTTGGGCAATCCCAATAACAGATACAAATTCCAGAATGATGGAAAATATCATGACTCTTACAGTGAGGAAGATGCAGTAATCATAATAGGATGCCCACACATAAAAATAAGGTCATAAAAATGCATTATCTTTCTAATAACTCTGCTTGTATTTTTTCTGAGACAATGTCACAGTATACACACTTTAGCAGAAATGTCTTGCATCTACACTTGCAAAGCACTGTGCTGCAATGTCTTTGCAACATCTTATATGGAGAGAATAGACTAACCTGGGCTAGTACAAGTAGTCCTCATCTAGTGACCACAATTGGGACCAGCAACTTCGTTGTTAAGTGAAACTGCGACTGTGCTTATGATCTTACTTCAGCTTTCCTTTGCTTTATAGACCTGCAAAGGTGGTAAATGCAAGAATTGGTCACAAAATTACTTTTTCATCACTGTCATAACTGAATGGTTGCTAAATGAGACAATCGCTAAAGGAGGACTACCTGTAAATCAACCCCCAAGTGTATAAATTACGTTACATAAACAGACACAGAAATGTTATCATCTCCATTAACATAGTTTTGCAGTGTTGAGTGCTCTAAAAAATACTGGTTAAAATATATCAGATACAGAAGTTATAAATTATATCCCATGGTGTCCATCCATTGAAGAAGTGGCACATGGTAAAAACCGAATCCCTCTCTTTCTCTGTGTTTGCCCAAGCAGGCCAAAATCTGTTGTGAGGAGCTGGCAGCCCTCCAGATTTTGCAGCATTGAATGTATCCCTACATGATGTGTTGATTTTCTGTCAAAAGCTCTTAATAATTTTGCATCATGCACCAGGATATTTTTTTTTCCTCTTAAAAGTATTCACTATATATAAAATAAACCCACCTGTGGTTGTTATTTGTTTTTTACTATTTACTTCAGCATTGATTATTAAACTGAATTTAGTTTATAGTTTAATAGTTTTAGGGTATAATAAACCCTATAAAATATAAGACTTCCCTTTAAGGGAACTTGTACTTTCAGTTCAATCTGGCCCCACAAAGCTACTGTAATTTGTGCTTGACTGAACAGTAGCATGTGCAAAATGTGAAATTTTAATGTCTTTAGCTGTAGGGCGTAAGCAGTAGAAAATCAAGTTTTTTATGGGAAGATTTCCCCTTTTTTCTTCTCAAAGTTAATATTTCATTTTCAAAGAAAATTGCACCACTTCACCGTGCTTGACAGCCTGAAAGCTCCTGCAGTGAGAAGTCCTTCTTACCTTCTGTAAATTGTGATGTTTTCAGATTAAATTGTCACTTTGTGGCCTGCACCATCTCATTGAAAAGTGACTTTTCTTTATGTATGTAGACAGTACAAATGTCCAGCAAAGAAAAGGTTTTAAACTACTTTCCATTCTTTGATGATTTAGTGTTGTAACAAGAAGTATTTCACTGTGTAAAATTGAAAACCTCTATTTGGCCATTAAGTCTGAATGTTCCTGGTAATAGGCAATTGGTACGGGAGCAGAGTGAAAAATTATTAAGGATTGTATTAAACTTAGATAACATTTGTACCATTATGAAACATGTGATATCACAAGTGAGGAAATACAAAAACTAATTAACAGCACTGATATTAGCTGCAATAATTTGTTGTTCAGGAGGCTATACATTTTTGTCAGCTCACTTCTGAATTATTGTTCAAAACAGAAAAGTGAAAACTAGATTCCAACTTGAAAGTGACCTTTCCAAAAGAACATTTAATATCTGTGACATAGCTAGAGCTCTTTTTGTTTCCTTTTTGAAGGAAACGGTTTTCTAAAAAAAGCTTGCTACATAGTGCTTTGAATGACAGATATATGAAAAAAATAGCATCTTTCTGAATTAAGAAATGCAACCACATTGTATGACACCATGTTTTGTATCAGGACGTTCTTCTACTGCAGTTCTTTATTTGCATCTAGTAAAGCAAATTCAGTTGTGTTAATTAATAATTGTCCCATAATTAAATATGCTAAAAGGAGATCTGACATTGTCCTTTATTTCACAATGTGATAGACACTGTTACAGCCAGGAAGTATTACAGTGAATAAATTAGAATTCTGTGTGTAAGGTAGAAAGCTTTAGAGGCAGGCTGATTTAGTTAATTAAAAGCTATGGACCCAGTCTACGTAAAATGAAACATTATACTTCAGCAGAAGAATTCTAAGTTTATTTTAAATCTCCTGTGAAATCAATGTGACCTAGAAATGTTTGACTCTGCTCATTTTCCTGCCAGCAGCTTACAGTGTCTTCTAAATCATCCAACTATCATTCTGCCAAAATAACAATAATAGGGGCAAGCTTTATATCACTTAAATGGCTAGGTGATACTAGATGTTTAAGCCATTCATGGGGAAATGGCCTCTGGCTGGTCCTACCAAATACTGTGTACACTTGAAATAAAAAATCTGGATCTAAATATCTAGTAAATGTTTGTTTCAACCAGATGACATTCCAAATTTGGGGGTTTTATCAAATTGATAATCCAGTTTTGCAACAAGCCAGAATGTACAGACAAACATGCTTGAGGCACGTTTCTGCCAATCAGCAGACTGGATTACAATTGTAAGTATGCCAGGCATAGAAATGGAAACTAAGAACTTCCATTCATGGAAGAACTAGATCCAACAGAAATTTTGGATTGGAGGAAGTGGAATGAGGTGATTTATTTTTCTCACTGGAACAGCCTGGAAGATAGATGAGTTGAAGAAGATAGCCACCCCATCTTCTTCCTCCAATACCAACAAAACTGCATAAAGCTAGAGATAACCCTATTTCTGATATTACATATGTACCAAATGATGCAAGAATAAGCTTTAGTCCCTAGCACTTAAGCTGTGGAGCACATAAGAATCAAGAACCCTGCCACTACTGATTACAGAGTCAACCCCAAATCAAGCATTGGTGCACCATTAATGTAGGGGTGTGCAGTATTTTTCAGGCCAAAAGCAGCACAGGTCTTTGAGCGGAGTGACCATCTTCCAAAAAGTGAGCAAGGGTAGGATAAAAAAGCAGACAAGATGAAGGCAAAAACTAATTTTGATCTAATTTGATTTAAATTCAATTATAATCCAGTTGCTTTAATTACAGATAGATTATATTATTATTCCTGATGTATTTAACCATTGTCCCCTTTTTTTTCCTTGCCTCCACCTGTAGCACAGAAGTCACTCTTTATACTGTCACACTCAAGACAATTTTAGATTATTAGTCTGCAAATCTTTAAATAGTTGTCTAAAAATAGTTTTTAAAAAGCTAATTCATCCTGAAAAAGAATTCCATATGCTTAGTTTCCAATGCTGAATGCACTCCTTTTCCTAAAGAGTTAAAATTAGTAGAAACAGAAAATCTTTTTGAGATAGTTACAGGTTATATTTTAGAGATAATGTATTGATAATGATGATGATGATGACGACGACGACATTGATTATAGAAAAAGAAGTCATACAGTAAAGAGAAAATACAATGAATGTGAAACTTTGGCAATTGCTTTCAGATAGCAAACAGCTATTTTCTTGCCAAAATTTCTTAAAACATTTTAACCATATAGACATAACAGGGAAGTGGGGCAAAGAGGCATATGGAAAAGGAACTACGCAATGAAGTTTAGTTCAGTTATCAAATTCAGGGTTAATAAATCAGGAAACTATATTTAACTATATGCTTTCTTTTACATATGAATTAGGAATTATTGTTAATAGTATTAGAAAGCTATTGTTAATTGTAGTTTCCTGGTTTGTTTCACTACTGGTGGAAAGGACTAAGTTTCTATTCTAATTCTAGTTCCAATAAAACTGATTTGAATGTGAACATTTGAATTACCTTTTGTTTCAATGCTTCTTATTTAATAGAGCTAAATTATTATTAACCTCACTCAGGCATCATCAGAAACTTGCCTTCTGAGATCCAAAGTTCATCTGAATTGATATGAGAACAATAAAATGGGGAGTTTGGGCCCTTTGTTTTATAAATGGAATCATCTGCAGCATGTGGAGAGAATGTATTGTTTGTGCCTGAACTAGTAGCCTTCATTCCTGTCTGTTGTGTGATAGCTTTAGTTTAACATCCTCCTTTGTCTATGTTGTGTTAGTTTCTTACTACCGTTTCCCTTCTCCCTCCCTTCCCCAACTTTCTTTTTGAAATGTATTTGATTTAGAAATCAAGTTCCTCCAACACAACTGGAGAGAAGATCACCAAAATGTATGAGCTGGGAACTGAACCAGAGCGGAAAGTTTGGGTGGATCGGTATCTCAACTTCATGGAGGAGAGGGGAACACCTGTAGCTGGTCTCCCTGCTGTTGGCAAGAAGCCGCTGGATCTTTTTAGGCTCTATGTTTGTGTTAAGGAGATTGGAGGCTTAGCCCAGGTGAGTGATGATTGTCAAATGGCTTTAATCTTACCCTTGCAGGCTAAAGTTAAAAATATCCTTGAAATGTCACTTAACATTATTCTGTCTTGGATATTTTCAAAGAGATTCAAGACAGAGTACCTTTAGTTACAAGAATATACATTTAAACATAGCGTAGAGACCCTCAGAATCCAGAATGTCAAGAATGTCCATTCAGAATTCAGAGGGTGTCATCTCAAGAAACTTGTTAAAATATATTAAAAGGATATGATAGTTACGTTTCTTACCTGTACAATCCAACTATCCCCAATCTCCACCCCCCAAAAAACACTGAAAAGAGTTCTGATGGTACTGAATTCTTTTTCATACTAAAAAAGATGACAAGTTCCTGCCATTTTCTTGGCAAGGTTTTTCAGAAGTGCTTTGCCATTGTCTCCTTCCTAGGGCTGAGAGAGCTGACTGGCTCAAGGTCACCCAGCTGGCTTTGTGCCTAAGACAGGACTAGAACTCATGGTCTCCTGGTTTCTAGCCAGTGTGTTAAACTACTGTGCCAAACTGGCTTTCTGTATTGAAATTTTGCTGAAAATAAAGATGGGAATGAATTTCATCTTCATGCATACTCAATGGAATGAGACCGCTTATATGAATATCATTTCGTATAATTTTGTACACCAACATGGAACATCTTGTAAATAATGACTGATTCATTCAAATGTGATTTCAAATATAGATATGGAAACAAAAGCATATAGCTGTATATACTATAATTGTAAAAATATATAGGTACATATTTTGTTAGATTTGAAAGATAATATGCTGCAATGTCATACATAAAGGAATGCATATAGTATGCATTTTTGGTCTTCGTACATAATCAAATTAGTATCTAAGCAACACTAAGAATCAGAATTTTGATGTCATACATTACAAATGGAATTCATTTCATTCATTAGTATTTTCTCTGTTTGTGTAAAATTTGTTGTAATTCATAGTGCATCCTTTGTTCATAGTGAGTGCTGTCTCCCTTATAAAGGGCCTGGAGTTCTAGCACCTGAACCAGAAATACTAGCTAAACAAACCAGGAACAGCTATTTTGAAGAAGAAAATCATTCTTTCTGTCAATGTTAAAGCACTTCAATATGAACCTAGTTTCCTTATTATTGCCATTTAAGATTTGTTTTTAGAAGCTGATTTTAAAAAAAAAGACTCAATGTATGTTTGTGTCAGAGAAACCAAGTACACATTAGGAAGAAGATAAATTTGCTCACAATACACATCCCAAGCTCACTGAAAGCATAAAAAATAGAAATGTAAATGACGTTCTACTAGCAAAGCATTTTACATAGCTAAAGCAAGTTTTTAATGGTTTGATAAGTGCAGATGCTGTTTATGCATTATTAAGTGTGAGAATAATGGGCTTTTTTTTTTTTTTTTAAGATATTGCATGTGGGTTTTTTCCCTTTTCTGTCTTCAGGTTTTTTATCAATCCACTTTGATGCCGTTCGTCCATCCTGCTATTTTATTTATTTGTTTCTTTGTTCCTTTCTTCATTTTCTAGGTTAATAAAAATAAGAAATGGCGTGAGCTGGCGACCAACCTAAATGTTGGCACTTCAAGCAGCGCAGCCAGCTCCTTGAAAAAACAATATATTCAATACCTCTTTGCCTTTGAATGCAAGATTGAACGAGGGGAGGAGCCCCCTCCAGAAGTCTTCAGCACTGGAGATACTAAGAAACAAGCTAAGATTCAACCGCCATCTCCTGGTAAGTTGAAGAACTACAGAAACAATCTTAAAAAATTGCACAGGAGATGGAGTTACTAAACAACTTAAATCTCATAAAAACATCTGCTGCATGTAGATATTCCTAATTAATTTCTGAAGCTCATAAATGAGGGACATTTTAGTGGTTCTTGATTACCTATATCAACAGATCTTTCAAAGGATTTGCATATATTCACATTGACATTTGCAAAGATCTGTCAAATCTGTACCGACATTCTGAATGTTAAATTTAGCTCCACTAATAACTATTAAAAATGTTTACTACTAACTTCTGTTGGAAGTAAAATGCACTCAACATTATTGAAGCAGAATTAGACTGTATTTCCATTTTTATAGAACCTTTTAGAGCTTCAAAATTCTAATGGCATTGTTCCAGTTGTGTTTCACCCAACAAATGCTTTACAGCATATAGTAAAATCTTTCTATGGACTTCTATTCTTTTTATATTTCTTATTCATAACATTTTATTTTCATTGATACTGTATTTGATGTTGACAAATGGATGTTGTACTGGCAGTGGTGAAGTTTGGGGCAGTGATTTGTTGAGCTGCTCTGATATCACAGAAGGCTAGGAAAACACTCACGGTTTTTGTTTTGAAGGTGATAGAAATCTGGGAATAGAACTATTAGGTAGCATTAGAAAGAAATGAAGGCAAGAGAACAGAGGCACCAAATTGCAGATGAAGGAAAATAGGAAGAACAAATAGGGGCTGAGGAAAAGTGGAATAATACAAAATAGCAGCACTGAATATTCCAGAGAGGGTAATCTACTGAGAGATGTATTGAAAGACTGTGGGGGACAGGAGGAAGGGGAGGAAGCGTACCAAGGGAACAACAGAAATCAAATTTACAGATATGCCACAAAGATGAAGGATATGGTAAAGAATGTACTGTATGCTAGAAGTTTAAAGAAACAGATTAAAACGAGTCTGTCCATAGCTAGTCCTATTATAACATTAATCACACTGGCTATCAAGAGCTCATTCACATGTTCCTCCAATATAATATTATATACTAGCACTTGGTTTTATATAAGAACAAACAAGTCAGTTTCCTTAAAAATAATGGAAAAATATCTCACAGCAAACATCTGAACACTGGGAAACCAACTGAAGAGCACTTAGATCTCCTAGGTTTTTGTCTGGCAAAGTCACCATACTTCCAAAAAACAAAAAATACTTCACTTAGAGGCAGCAGTGGAAAATTTCCAAACTAAAACGTTATTCATAAAATTGGATTATATTCATTCTGGAGTTAATATTACTGTGGATGCTATTGCCTTAAGAAAATATTTAAGTATGTTCTGCATGTACATACGCACCCACCTATAAACATATATTTGCCAACTGAGGGCAATATTTATTTCCTATAATGAAGTGGGCTTCAGTCCAAGAAAGTTTATGTCATAATAAAGCTATCAGTCTTTAAAATATTACTTTCCAGAGATGAGAGCTATTTTTCCTGAAGAAATACTAGGAAAACACTTGTTGTACTTTACTTGCCTTTTGTTGTAGTGGAACTAACCACAGGAAATATGCTGAGGGGTGAAACAGCAAACATGAAATACTGGGAGGAATTGAATTATAGCAACTCCGTTGCCATAATACCTCTAAAGGCCCTGTAAGTGTCCGTGATGGTGCTGGAACTGCTCAGTTTGAATGGATATTCCATAAACGAAAAGAATCAGTGTTAGGAATATTTTTCCATATAGTTGAACCAATGTGCCAATATTTACTTTTCATCACAACTGTTTACACCTCGATACCCTCTTAACAGCATGAAACAGACAGATTTCAAATGGAAAATCTAGCTTTACTTTTGTATAACTAGTAAAGCAGAGAAATGTCAGAGTTCACGGTTGTAAACATTTAACCCACATTTAAAGGTCTTATCAATATCATTATATTTAGTTCAGAAAGATATATTTGGGCCAAATGGAAACTCCTTTTTCAAAATAAAAACCTTATTACAACTGGGAAAGATTTCACCAGATATAAGAGTTGCTATTCATAGATTTTACTGCTGAGTTATGGGTTTTACAAAATATGTGAGGATTCGTCTCCTAATTTTCAACATTGGTTCTTTACAAGCAATTTGTGGACACACTGACAGTGCAAAATATATGAAGAGAGTTAACAATGCATAATGGTGCTTGAAGACAGGAAATAGAAGGCTGGTAGTGTTTCTGCTTTCAGTTCTTTGAATTACAATTTATTCATAAAAAGTCAATTACCAAACAGCATTCTCATCAGTATATACTGAATGGGAGAAAGGGGTGTGTTTCCAAATTATGCTCTCCATATTCTTCCTAGCAAACTCACTGCCAGATCCATAATTGAATTTCACCTTACTACATGCTGATTTGGAATGCTGAAAAAGCATCAAAGCACAACACAGCTGCCATGGTGGGAGTGGGGAATGACTTTCCCATTCATAAAATGCCTGCCATTGTGGGCATGGCCAGTCACAAAATACCTGCTCAAAGAAAATAAACTTTCTCATGACAAGGCAGAGGTAGAGAACAAACTTCTTTTGACACTCAGTTTTTACTCCATATCCATTTCACCAAAAGCAGACTGGGAATCTTCAGAGAAACATGCATGACAGACAAAGCACCTAAATATCCTTCTCGTTCTGCAAAAAAATAAAAAACAAACACTGAGGCAAAACGCACATATCACCTCACAAAAACCCTAGGTAACAAACCCAATTGCCAAAAAATTCCACGTGCAACATAAATCACCCACCAACATACAAGCATCCCATATGCAAATAAAAATTGAGCAAAACGTGTGCATAAACATACACCCAGAGCCCCAGCAAACCTCTTCCCCCATTCCCAGCATCTCTTCTCCACACATTTCAGAAAAAGTGTTGGACTTCATCCACCCATCGTTTTACTTTCTGTGAATACCTCTGGCACCTAGCTGAGGGCATCCTTGAAAATTAAGATGTACTGGAGGCAGGCATGTTACTTTGTAGCATGCCAATCTCCCAATTTAAAAAATAACTTTTAAAAAATTAGGGACAGATTGAAAAAAATTAGCATGGACCCAGAGCCTGGTAGACATCAAGGGAAGTTCCTATAACTACACTCTGTGGACCAGACTAGCAAAGGGTACCCTTTGAGAGCTTTTGCTTTAGATATATATTTTACATTTTTATTTCTTTACCCCACCCCTCATTCCCACAAGAGTTCTGGGAATCAAACAGGAGTTCCAGTTTCAAAAAGATAACCATACATTAAACATATACGTGCTTAATATAGAGATTGCTTGGATTTTTGCAGCCCATGTCAAACATGACAAGGTGGGAAACCAACTTAAGCTAAAGGAGACACTTTCCTCTGCTGTTTCAGAGGAAGAGAACAAGTAGGTCTGTTTCACACACCTGGTCATCACTCGGCCCTGTAAGAAACAAGCAGAACACAGATTAAGAAGGGAGAATATGAACACCCGAAACACGTGTTCCCATATTGCACTGTGTTTTTCTGTCAGGTGTACACTTGTATGTGAGACTGAGCTGCGGCGAGAGAAGTGAAGGGAAACATCTCAGACTGACTCTGTCTTACTTCAGTTACTTGATCACATTTTTAAGGAGAGGGTCTGAGAAATTTCACTGTAAAGGAGGGGCATTGTGCTGGGTAAACAAGGTAACAATTGGGGAGACTTTTCTGAAGATGAGTGTCAGAGGAATGTGTGTTCTTCTTCGGGGCTGGGGCGTGGACTGCCTAGGTGTTGTACAGGGTTCTCGCAAATATATTTGCAAACGTGTTTCCATCCTTTGAAGTTCCAACAGCCTCAACCCCACTTCTTAACTCAGGCAGATTGTTTTTGCATTTCAACAGACTGGATGAAAAAAGCCAAATTTTTCCAAAGTTTCTGTAATTCCAATGTTCTCAGCAGGCTTATTTTAGGAAGCTTGGAAAACTTTGAGCCTCAGTTTACGGAGAGCACAGCGTTTCCTTGGCAGGAGAGAAACAACATGGGGGAGGGGGCTGGGGGGCAGCACAGAGGGCTAAGGCAATCTTTTAATTAGTAAGTCTGTAACCCAAAACCCATCTATCTTTGCTGACAGGTGGCTGACTGAATTTCTATTATTAGCTGACAGGTGATGTCACAAAATCTGGCAGGCAGCCAACTAGGGAATCCCCAGCGGAAGATAAATGAGGAAAGGGGTTGGGTTATAAACAAAGGTGCCCTTTGATTGACCTCCATTCACTGTGGACATGTGATGTTTCCTAGTAAACCTCCCACCGCTTTTCCCTCCCTCCCCCACTTGTCAGAATTAGGGCACTGAGTTCATGCTGTGTAAATTATCTTCCCGGCATGGTGTCTGGCTGTTAAGACTGAAGTATGTGAATGTACTTAACCTTCAGTAACCTTTCCATTGTTTACTTTAGCTTATACATTTGTAGCTTCTGGCAAAAGGTAGGGATATCCTACAGAGCATGTTAGGCCTCTTATTAATAGAGTTTCAAGAGGCTACATTCGTGTATTTATTTGTTTCTTCCAGTCTGGTGGGGGGGAGGGGGAATTGCTGGGCAGCAGAAAAGCTTTCATTCCCTCCCCTCCTCCCACCCCCCTCTTCCTTCTCTGGTATTATCAACTGGATATTTGAGACAGTATAAATAAAAAGATACCCATTCTAGTGCAACCATGCTTTGCACATTTCAGTGGGTCCTCTGCAAGCCTCAGGTTGCAGCGTACAACTGCACAGTAGCATAGCCAAACAAGCCCACTTTGATGCTTCTGAGATATTGTAGAATTAAGATTCATCTACTGAGAAAGCTTTATCTCATTCTGTTTATACCTAGCTGTTAATCTTGGCAAACAATGTGTTCTTCATTATACTGGAGGCTGCAGGTGAACTTTGGGTGCAGGACAGGTTGTGTAGCATATGCTGTTCTGTCCTTTAACAAAAGGGAACTGCCAGAAGGCTCCGAAAGGAAAATTAAGGACTAAAGTAACACATATTTTGAAGTTGCCGTGTTACCAGTAGGCTTCCCAGTCAAATTCAAAGTCGTGGTCATTACCTTTGTAGTCCTTTACAGCACAACCCTGCGACATATCAGACCACCCCTTGCCAGAATTGACTCAGCTATCTAGCTAGGCCATCCAGAGAGGGCCTGTTGCAGGTCCCTTGTTTTGTGAAAGGCCTGGGGCACGGACCAGATGACAGCCCTTCCAAGTGGGGGACCCATTTTATGATATATCTTCCTCCCAAAGGTACCACAGCCCCAAATCCTCCTAGTATTTCATAACAAACTAAAGCAGTTCTGTTTCAGCATGCATTTAGCACTTGGATGATTGGTTTAGTTTTATGGGTGCCTATCATGTTTAGGTTTGGGATGATTTATTGTAATTGTTTGTAGTTAGTTTTTATTGTATCTTTTGACCTTTAGGATTGGGACAGGTTATAAATATTGTAAAGTAAATAAATAACTTTGCTTAATAACTTGTTATATAGAAAGTGTGTAACGTAATGGATCTTTTGTGGCAGACAGCATATGATTCACAGCTCTTTTTTCTAAACTGTTGAAGCAGAAACTACCGTTTTCACCATATTTTAGGAAGCAATTAATGAACAGGACAAGCCAGTCTCATCAGAGGAAAAAAAGCCCATATTTTAAGGGCTAATTCAGACATTAGATTGCCTGGCAGAGGATTACTCCGTCATCTTACATCCTAAATATTTATGAATCCACATCAAATGTATTGGGATCTCCTCACATCAAGGCATTGGAATCACTAACTTTGCCAAAGTTTCTCCTTGACAAGACCCTGTAAATATAAGGCCGGGTTCTTTGTTCTGCTGCACGATGCTGTGCTTGAGACTCTGGAAGCACCTTCTGAGGAAATGAATCAAGAACATTAACTTGGTGTTCCCTGACTTTTCTGTTGTGGTCTGTGAGTCTTGCGGCAAGACTATTCTCCTTACAAGTTAAGTATTTCTTGAAAGGAATTTAGTAAATGGGAAATTTCAGATACAGGGAACCTGTCCAATTCAATTATAACTACCCTGTTGGCCATCAGCTTGAACAGACCTGGACAATCTTTGCTTAAGCAATACTTAATGATGAATTCTTAGCCACAGCAGAATTTAATAAATAAAGCATATCTCATCTACAAGGTGTATTCAGATAAAATAAAATAAGATGTCTTCACAAATATATCTCTGTTTCCTGCTTCTCTGCCTTGGTTTTCTTTTTACACATGTGAGCGTACACACCTGATATTTTTTCCTCTCCCTTCCCCCCTTTTTTAAAATTTTCCAGCTAACTCGGGTTCTCTTCAGGGTCCACAGACCCCTCAGTCTACTGGGAGCAATTCTATGACAGAAGTGCCAAGCGACCTCAAGCCTCCAACACCAGCGTCCACACCTCATGGACAGATGACACCTACACAGGGCAGCAGGTACTTTTCTTAGAGCCTTTTGGGATATTGGATCTGTGCTTTAGCAAGTGCAGTCACTGCCCCAAATCCAGACACCTTCTCTCTCTTTCAGGGATGTTGCATTTTCCTGTGACTCAAAATGCAACATGTTGTGGGAAATATTATTGGTATCTGGAAAATGAGTGTCACGGGCATTTCTTGGATGCTGCCCATGACATCATTGATGGTGAGTGGCAGTTACCCCCATCTTTCTTTGCCACCATATTGTCAATCTCACCCCCCGACCAGCAATGAGAAAAGGAGAGGTATGGGATCTGAAATTGCAGAGATTCAGTCTGATGTATGAGAAAGTTGCTTTTAATATTAATTTCCTTTTATACACACGCAGACACAGACTCTTCAGTCTTTGGCTAGAGAGTTGCATTTATTGCAGAAATAAAACTGTAAAAAAGGCTTTGCCTTAATACTAATTTCATATGAGTTTGCAGGATGATACTTCTGCTTTTTCACCCTAAAACTCTTCGTGTGTGTGTATGCATGCACACGCACGCACGCATGCAACTATGTCCAGGTGCATGCAGAAACAACCAGGAAAAAAAAAGGCAGAAAATTAGCAAGCAATTCCAAGTAAGCCATTATCATGGCTTAATCCTGTTGTATGGGACTAATTGGCAAATAGAACAAGCTTCTATTTTTCCCTAAAAGGACGATGCCTCCTCTTCTCCATTACTTCCTGCAGCATCTGACTTCGAAAAACAGAAGTGATAAAGCTTCAGCTGCTCTCAGAAATAATCATTTGTGCACAGCTTGAATTGTCTTATCTATCCGTCAACACACAGGCACATCCATGTGTAACCCCACACACTGATTTTAAAAGGTGCCCATTATTGTGTGTGCGCGTGTTATTTCAATATCCATACGTACATATGGGTATTTCTTTGGGGATAAAATTTGGGGAATATTAAAAATTGATTTCATCAGTAATCTGCCAACTAAATTTGAGAAGTTATTTCTTTATATCAATAGATCCAATATTGGTACCAAAATGAGTAAAATATCCAAACAGTGCCTTTCCATCAGGCATAGTATTCCTTGATATAAATTGTTAAGAAGCTCTGAAACCACGAATTGGCCTGTGATACCTGTAAATGGTGGGAAGGGGTCAGTATGTTGGAATGTTAGAATGCTGGATTGAAGTTAAGAAACCTTAGTTAAAATCCCAGCTCTGCTATGAAGTTTACTTCATTGGCCTTGGACAAATAGGTGTTCTCATATGCCACTCTGAACTTCTTGGCTCAGGTAGAGAATGATGTACTTGAATACATGTTCTGTATGTTTTGAATATCTTATATATCCTTTACTGTTAAGGTAACAGTGGTGATTTTCAGAGCAGTTTAACTTTCTGAACTCTATGGATCACCATCTGAGCAGGTATTGCATATCTACAACTGTGTCTCTATAACCTGAATACCTTCTTATGTTCTATCTCTTCAGAAATAGTTCAGTCAGTGTACATGATCCCTTTTCGGATGTAAGTGATTCCACATACCCAAAACGGAACTCCATGACTCCAAATGCACCCTATCAGCAAACAATGAATGTGCCAGATATGATGGGAAGGATGCCCTATGAGCCAAACAAGGATCCTTTTGGTGGGATGAGAAAAGGTAGTATCTGCTGACATTAATTGGGGTGGGGGGGCATAGACTGATATACATTGTAGCGGTATGTCTGCATGTTATGTATATCAGTTTATATATGTGGTTGATGATTCTCCATCTTTGTATTCCAGAGGTGTAAAGAATATTTTTGATGCTTTGCTTTTCTCTCACTTCCATAAGTAACTGTGCTGTTGTTCTGGAAGTTAAGAGATTAGCGCAGAGAATTTTTGCCAATAAGTTTAAGAACTTGCTTTTAAGATATAGAAAATTATATGGAACAGTTTTTATAATTATACCGTTATAATTATACCAATATTCTCAACGTAGGCAAGTACTTTTCTGTAAGCAACAAGGTTTGGTAAACTCAGATTATGTAATATACAAGCCAGTTTAATAAGGTATACAATGTTATGACATGTATTATTTTAGTCTAAATCTTAATGGAATCACCAATTTCCATTGCCTTATTTCATTAATACAAGATAGGACTGCTACAGGGAGTTTACTGGAATAAACAGGCATGCTATAAAGGAGTTTATATATTGGTTTAAAATGTGTCCTTGCCCTGTAACATTCTTTGGAAAAACATTTGTGGCAAGGAAGTAAGGCTCTCTTTCAACAGTTCCAAATTATGAGGATCTGTTCCATTTTCTAGATTTTCTGATCTGGACAAATGTCTCAGCATTGTCTAAAATGTGTAGAGATTTGAATTAAATAAATCATTTATATCATTACTTCAGCTAATGAGATTCAGATCCCTCTAAAGATCATATGTAAAAATACATTAAATGCATACATTAAACATACATAAAAGTCATACTGAAGCTTTAGCAGCATTTGTGGAGCAATGTTGTACTTTAAAGAAAATTCTGACTATACAACAGGGCTCAATTATTTCAGAAAACCTGAACCAAAAAAATGCCTCCCTAGAGTATCTTTCATGGCTAGATTCTATGTATATATGTACTGTAGTTAGGCATCTATGTATACAGCTATGACAACTATTTTACTTTCACAAGAACCTTGTAGTGTAGTTCAAGATGAGAGATAATGACTGAGTCATGATTTATACTAGATAATATTCTGTATCTCTGAAATAAATTTACTTTATTACTCTTAAGTCCCAAGGAGACTTCTAAAGTGACTTCCAGTTAGAAATCTGAAAGCAGGAATAAAAGAGCAATAAAACAAGCAAATCAATAAAATAAGAACAACAGCATTTTCAGCATTAAAGCAGAAATTTAAAATGAATAAATCAAAAGGTGTAAAGAACTTGGACAACCGTGGTCACTTACAATTTTTCTGGATGTAGCATTTCAAAGCCAACATCCCAAAACTGAAGAGATCTGTGTTTTATTTCACCTCCAAGGGGTGGGAGGGAAGAAAAGCTTATTTATGGGTAGATTGATGTTTTAGAAAGTACCCAATATCTGGTAGCCAGCACTTGAGACGTTTTCCTTTTCAAATTCATTACACAGATAAGTATGGAGATATATATGTCATTTGTATAGGCTGGTCTTAGAGAACCAAGACAGCTGAGATCATAATGCTGCTGTTCTGATCCAGTGGAGATTTGTAGGTTAGTAATAGACTCCTTTCTTGGGAAAAAAAACTGATGCAGAACACTCAAAAATTGCTTGAGATTTTTATTCAGGTTTAAAATTATAAAATACGGTATGCTTAGAGTATAGATGTGGTCCCAGTTACTGTAAACCACAGTAAAATACATGCAGTGGCATTCTGATGGTGCTACTGCTGAAGTAAGTATTTCCTCAGCTCTCATACTGTTTGTTGGAGCATTCTGCTTCAGTTCTCTGAACATCAGTTATAAGATAGTATTTAATATTTCTTAATAATACATCTTTCAAATAACATATTTAAGCTGTGTGTCTGTTTTCTTCCTTCCTTCCTTCCTTCCTTCCTTCCTTCCTTCCTTCCTTCCTTCCTTCCTTCCTTCCTTCCTTCCTTCCCTCCCTCCCTCTCTCTCTCTCTCTCTCTCTCTCATAGTGCCTGGAAATAGTGAACCCTTCATGGCCCCTGGACAAATGCCCAACAGTGGCATGCAGGATATGTACAGCCAGAGTCCCGCTGGAACCATGTCCAACATGGGCATAGGCCAACGCCAACAGTTTCCCTATGGAAGTGGTTATGACCGGAGGTGAGACCTTCATCAGCTTCAAAAGGCAGAGACTAATGGTGAAAAGATTCTGCATTGTCACTGTCATTCTAACAGACCATTTAGCTGAGACATTTAATGCTCTTCAGAAAATCAACGAGAGCAAAACCACTAATAGAGACTGAGTCTATTTTGTGCAAGAACTAATAAGCAAGGGTGTGATGAATAAGGAGTCACCTTGTCTATAGAGGCCTACATTTGATGTGTTTTTGCTTAATCAGAGTTCAGCATACTACAGAATGTGTGTGTATATATGTTTAATGAACCAGCCTCTGGGAAATTGCACCTTTCACTGATGGTTTTGTGCTGTCCTTTGCAGAGGAGTACATAAAAAGAATAGATCCTCATTTCCAGGATGGTCATCTAATACACCCCAGCCTCAATAAAGTCACACACTGTTCCTTAATTGGGGCAGAGTGGGGATACATGTATAGATATATTCAGTTGTATATCTCATTCAAATAGTTAAGTGTCCATCCCAATATAGATATCATCCATCCTTGTAGCATTACTTTCAACTGGATGCATATCCTCATTCACATTGTGACCCAACACACATAACTACATGTGATTGGATTTAACATATTCTGGTATGCAGGCAAGCAATACATTCACCAATGTAGAAGGGCAACACTGGATTCATCTGGTAGATAACAGGGATATATTCCTCCCCATCCCACCCCACACCCAATTCAAACATAAGGCAGTGGGAGAGCTTTGTTCTGTGCTAGCAGCACAATGCCATATCCAGATAGATAAATAGATAGATATAAAGGCGGGTGGGGGGAGAGTTGATAGGCTGGAATTCAGTGGAGAGGAAATCCTTTTTGGAAAAGCAAATTGCTCCACCCCCAAAAGGGTAGAGGGTTGGAGAACAATGGCTGCAGAACCATGATAAAATGCACAGAATAGCAAAACCATTTTTGTTCTCTTCAAAAATAATACCATTTACAGTAAAGTTCAACCCACCTAAAAATTAGTGCTACACCAGTAAATGTAAACCCCTTGCCATTTTTCAGTATTCTGAGAAAAACAAGGCATGTAGAATGTGTTTTTCTCTGAAGCCTGGCAATATGAGCTTTCTGGTTTAGCATTATCTATGTGCTAGAAAAGCAACACAATATATTGTCAGTTTGGCTCAGTAGCTGAAGTGTCTTCTTCCTTACTGATAACAAAACTTTTGAAAAATGCTACTAAGAAAATTGACAGCAAAAAAAGACCATTGTAGATATACATTAAACAATAACATTTGCTGAAACAATAGAGGAGGCTTTATGTCACCTTACTTTACTAAAAAGATAAATAGTGAATTAAATTCAGTTTCTACCACTGATCCCAGAAAAGAAGTCCTTGAAGGGCCAGAAGATACTGAATTATTTTGAAACTCAGAATATTAGCAATTCCATGGGTTTTTAAAGCAAAAGTTGCTAAAATGAAGTCAGTTTCAAAACATTTTAATTTGTCATGTAAATATAGCCTCTAAGGACCATAACACATTAATATGACTTTGACTTTAAGAAAAAAGCAATCACAGTATTTTAAGAAAGAGAATTACTGTAGAGAATAAGGAAGATGATGTTGAGAGAGAGATGTAAGGTCCATTGCCAAGGCGACAAGGGGTGAAACATTCACCCCTTTAAGTTCATAACATTCAGAAGCAGCTCAGACAGATACCTCCCTAATTCACTGAACTGTAAGAAAGGGAGGAGGTAACAACACAATGAGACTTGCAAGATTGAGATCAACCCTAGGTAGACCAGACCAAGAAGTCAACTCCACAGCAAGACTAAAACTACTTTTATTGAGATTGACTATAATAACAGAATCTTGCAAGTCTGATTGTGTTGTACCTCCTCCCCTTATAGTTCAGTGAATTAGAGAGGTGTCTATCTGAGCCACTTCTGAACATTATCTGGACATTCTGAACTTAAAATATGTTTTACCCCTTGTCACCTTGGCAGTGGGGCTTGCATATCTCCATCAAGGTCATCCTCTTTACTCTCTACAATTACTTACTAGTTATTAATTACATAGAATCATAAGTAAGTTTCACAAATAGTTATGAAACTTGCAATCGTGTAGTTCTTTATTCATCAGGCTAAATTTACAAACAATAGCTGCATGAAGTAACATTTAAAATTGTATTCATCAAAAAGACAGACTGCAATGGCCTATAAAACATTTTCAGTCTCAGAAAAAGTGTTGGAATTCCCATAAGTCTTTTATTTTAATTCACCAGACTTGGAGAATAAGTGCTTTTTACAGTGTGAGGTTTCCTTTGTCATTTTTAGGTCGGATCATGGGCTGGGTCCTGAAGGCAGTATGGGAGCACCTGGTCAAAGCAACATGGTGCCTTCAAACAGTGACCCAAGCATGTACTCTCCTAACTGTTATCCTGGGCAACAAAGGTGAATAATTTAATCTGTTTAAAATACCTGTGTTAACCAGATAATTTTAAATCTTAAGGGCTACTGGATAGGAGGTGCAATTTGCTATACTGGATTGCTGTACTGTGTTTTTCATGCTCTCGGATCTTCTGCAAGATACTGGCATAAGCTCCTTGAGAATAATGATGGTTGTATGGCTGCAATGTTGTTAGATGGTTTTATGCTTTGGTTTATTTAATTTTTGGATTCTAGCAATGGATTCACTTGAAATGTATAGAGAACTTCAGATTACAGCATTTTTACAGATTATAAAACCATTCAGTACAGAATACTTTTCTCAATCTTTTACTTTAAATTCACTTGTAAAACAGGTTCTCAGTTGTTTCTTTGTTGATGTCTCTTCATAGATAAATTAATTGAACATGTGCTGAAATACAGGTTGCTGTCTCCTCTAGAACCTTAAAGCAAATTCGTTTCACATATTGCTCTACAGTTATAACATCAGAGTTTCTCTAACCTAATTTAACTAACCTAATTTAAACCATGTATATTTTTAGTGACAAAGTAGATCACTGAAGTTCTTGAATTACAATTACTTTCACTTTTAGCAGGTTTCACCACTACAGACCACTAGGGAATATAGATTTTTATAGAAGTATTATAAAACCACTATACGTGTATCTAAGCAATGCAGTTTCTATGATAATATTACATGTATTCAGACATACAAACACTGGCATCTCATAGTTACAGAACCAGAATCAGCAGACTTTCTAGGAGCTTCTTGCTTAAGATTGTAAGGAAGGCATGGAAGATAATAACAATAGCAGAGAGAAAAGAAAAGATAGGGAGGGGGCAAGGGAAGGTTATGTCATAGCATGTGCTAAGTACTTCATTTACAGTACTTAGGTATAAACTGTACACCATGCAAAACAAGTGAAGAGGGGAAAGAAGAGGAGAAGCCGAGAACTGTCTCCTGTAATTGGCAACAGAAGTCTATTATATCCAAGGCTGGATTAATTAGAAATACTGAAAATGAAATTGAGAAATTTGCTCCCTTTTCTCCCATGGTAATGCATTATCTTTTAAATATAAAGGCATATGTTTCAGGAGTAGCACACAGAGTGGCATGTGTAACCAAAGCCCTCCATTCTCCCTTGCCCCATTTCTTTGTATTTTTCTGCTGTACTGTTGTGACACTTCTGATTATGGTATTTGTGCTGTTACCCAATCGCACAAATATGATATCCTGGATGAGCTCATGGTGCTTACACCCAACGCTAAATGCGTATTTATTTATTTATTTATTTATTTTTATTTATTTATATTTGCTTAAAATCATGCATTTTGGCGTAGGAGAATTCGATTATTTAAATGTCACATTGTAGGAACAAATGTAAAAGTTTTATCCATTTGGATAAAATGTATTAAAAATTTATCCATTTGGATAAATATATTAAGAGAGTGCTTTACTCCATCCCAGGTAAGTTTGAAGCTGCGTCTAAAGCTCTTGAGTTTGGAGCCTGATACATAATAAGCTCATTTAAACAATTTAGAAGACTGATTCTTACCTGGATTTATTACTTATGTTTGTGATCCAGTTACTGTTACCATTGCTTTACATTTCATTATTGCTTTCTATTCCAGTTCAATTATATATCCACCTCAGATTTTTAATCTTTTTTTAAATCTGATATTAGAATGGCTATTAGGTCATGTATTACTCCTTTATACATAAATCATTTTAAAACTGTAACACTTTGGCAATATTAGATAATCATGTATTGTTGCCAAGATTCTGAATTTCAAGCACAGAATCTGCTTCAACCAGTCAGTTGTATTTCTTCTCAGTTACTATACGTTGGTCAGATGCTTTTGATTTAAAGCTTAAACATTGCCAAGTGAGATTCAAGGACATGGGATCATAGACTACTAGTACCAATTCATTCATCTGAAGAAATGTGAAACATGCCTGAATCCAGGGCACATTATTTTTTTATCTGAAATGGTAAACACATTCAATCCTGAGAACAGAGACGTCATTTTTTTTTTTTTTAACAATATTGGAACGTTATCCCATAAAAGAGTAGAAAAAGATTCTAAGACAGAGTGATCACTGATCTACTCAGCTACATTTGTACAGAATAAAATTGAGTGGAACTCTAAATGTAATCCAAAATTAAAACCACTTCATTTAAAACATACTACATATTGCTCTAGACATTTGATATGAAAAAAGAGGATGCCGTTTGGAGATTTCCAGGCTTCGTGAAGGAAAGAAACCTTTTAATGGGACAATGACGTTTCAATATTTTGATGAATTTGGGAAATCATAAGCACTAATGTATAGCTTATATACTTCATTGCAGGCATGAACCATATGGACAGCAGTATCCAATGCAAGCGCCACCTTCTGGACAACCACCTTATGGAGGACACCAGCCAGGAATGTTTCCACAGCAGCAGGTAAACACCAAGTGTTATAGTATTCCTTTTGCAAAATTCATTCTAGAAATACAAGCATTTGACACTGGCAAAAAGAGTAAATAGTGGACATGTTTGCTACTTATGAGAATTTTGTATTTGTATCCTTTTATATGGAATGTTTCTTAACTGCAGTCAGCTAATGTCATGAATGATACAGAACATTCAATAAAACAATGCTGTTTTATTGACTAAGAAGTTAATGAGAAAGCATAGGTAATAAGACGTATCCCAAATAGACCTATATGTAATGGGAAAAAGGAAGAGGGAAAAGATTGTAGGACCACAGAATTGTAAAGTTGGAAGGGACTACAAGGATTAGCTAGTCGAATTCTCTGCAGTGTGCAGGAAAACCAGTTAAACCAGTGTTGTCTAAACTTGGGCACTTTAAGATGAGTGGACTTCAACTCCCAGAATTCCCCAGCCAGCCATGGGAGTTGAAGTCCACTCATCTTAAAGTGGCCAAGTTTGGACAACACTGAGTTAAACCAACCATAAGAAACGGCTGACCAGCCTCTTACAAATCTCCAGGCATGGGAAACCCACAGCCTTCACAGGCAGACTGTTTCACTGTTGTATAAAAGCAGAAAGGAAGATAAATCCACCTTCTTATTTAAACTTCTAAGGATATTGTAACTAGGGAGAAGGGAACACAACTAAGTGAATCTGCAGGAGTTGTCATCACCTCTCCTCCATAATTTTTTTTTTTTTTTTATCTGCACTCAGTCGTTACCGACTCTGCAGTGACTGCTTTTTTTGGACGAGTCCTTTGCAGTTTTCAAGGCAAG